TTTTTTTTTTTTTTTTTTTTTTTTTTTTTGCTTAACATTGTCACTATATTATCAATTTCGCTAAATTGTCATACTCTTCAGAGAGCACAGCATAGATTTATATGATTTTCAGATGAAAAAATTGATTTACATATATACATATATATATTTATTGTTTTATTATTAATGTCAAGACAATAAATGAAAGTGATTAAATAAGGCTCAAACTACGACAATTTTGCTGGGCTAAATATACGAAAATCTTTTCAAAAAGTCAAAATTTCGACTACAAAATCGTAATCAAATATTGGCAGTTGAGAAACTCCTAAACAGCTGCCTTACTCTTCACCTCTAAAACTCGAATATTTGGGTTCACTTTAGAGTAATTTACTTGGATAAATAAAATATTTGTTTTGCCGTCGCACCGTGGCATTTAGCAGAGCAATCATTCAGCTTGATGCGTGAAGCGATTGCTTGACAGTTAGTTTAAAAACTGCACTGGTTTTAATAATATTGCTATTAACCCAGCTTTGGCCATTCAGGGCTAATCCTGACTACCCTTAACATTAATCTGTTTTCAAAAATCTTTGGGCTCACATTTGATTCAGATGATTTTCGCTCTGCCGGCGGAGAACTCACTCTCCATCGGGATAACTCAAATGTGACTACGATGTGATATACGAAGTTATACATATATATCATATATAGTTTTTTTAATATTTTTTTTTTTCATTTTTAAACACTAGTACAAATGTTACACTCGCCCTTAAAACATATTTTCGAGTAAATATATTATTACATTACATTAACATTATTATTTATTTTTGCGCCTAGACCTATTAGAAGAAGTTTCTATTATAGATAATATTTTTATTTGATTAGAAATAGTTCCTGTCTTAAATATTATTTTTCATTCCTTTTATTCTGTTGTTATTTTGAATTATTTATTTAGAATGCTTTTATTAATTTTGTATTCTATCATTTTTATTATTATTTATCTTGTTGTTTTTGTATCATTATTATTATTTTTGTTTATTGTATTTATATTTTCTGTTATAATTTTTTTATTACTTTTTGTATTTTGTTGGGTTTGATTTTTCATTTGTATTTATAATATATTTAGAATATTTGATTTATTATTATTTTAATGTACACATACTTTTATTAATTATTTTACTTTATTTATTGATCATGAATTTTTGTTTGCTCTATTTGATTTTTTTTTGTATGGTTCTGGGTTTCTTGCAAGCTTACCAAAATTGCTTTTGTAATGATGCTGATATGGATTTGTGTTTATATTGCTGTTGCTGCTGCTGCTGCTGTTGCTGCCGTGATGACTGTGATGGCTGCTGTAGTGGTGGCCGCTGCTGCCGTGGCTGCTGTTGTTGTTGTTGTTGCTGTTGATTTTGCCCACACTGCCATTGCCATGATGATGGTTCAGATTGTGCATTTTGGATGGAATACGATAGCCGGACTCGTAGTATTTATACTGATTGTAAGTGAAGCGCATTTTGTTGCCGTTTTTTTGTTTTTCGTTTTGTTTTGTTGTTGATAAATTGCTTTCAGTTTTCTATATATTACACACTTGATATATTGTATATTCGCCCTTATGGATTTTATATATGAACTTAATATATAAATTGCTTAGTACAGCATTTGTTCAACTGTTGTTTTTTGCTTTATGCTTTTCTTTGATTTTGGCAGGCATAGAACGTTAAGAGGATCTGCTCTTAATATATATGTATATATATATGTAGGTATATATATTAACTCTATGTATATGTATACAGATTGGTTTGCATGCATATAATTATTTTTTGGTTGATTGTAGCTGGCACGTTTCTTTTGTTGATATTTTGTCACTTTGCTTGTTGAATTGAACTAATTAGATAATTTTTGTTTTGTGGCTTGTTTGGCATTACAATAGACTTGTATTTTGTTATTTGTACATTTTTGTTTTGCTTTGTTTGTGTTGCTTGGTTAATGCTCATAATAAATACATGATTTGTTTGTTTTGTTATTGCTGTTGTATTTTTTTTTTTTTCATTTACAACTTTTCATTCCCTTTTTTTTTTTTTTTGGTTTTTTGTTTTGTGAATAGTTGTTACTAGCTGAGAATCAAACGTAAACAGATATATTTTTTATTTTAGAGTAGAAAGCACAAAACGCGCTTGAAACGCTAGCGAAACGCGCGCCGCTGGAAATTAACGTTTTTCGCGTTCGTTTGTTTTGTTTGCAAAATTCGCATTTATTTTTATGTGCCGCGATCCCGAAGCAAACCGCACAAAAGAATGTTGAAAATATACAGACAGTATACACATACGTACATGTATATGCATATTAAAAATATATATATATATATTTTCGTTGTTGTCGCTCAACAAAAAGATACCCTAGAATTGCAGCCTAAAATATTTCAAACGAATCACAAAAAGAAACAACATTTAGACTATATCAATAAGAAATATCAGATAGTCATTATGAGAATCGTATAGAAAATCACTCCTAAATATCTATATAACCATAATAACCACAAATACAATAGCCAAGTCGATTACCAAACTTAAGAATTACTGGAGAAAATCATTTAGATCAAAAACTCGAACATATACATATGAGAATAGAATAAAAGAACTGTGTTAAGTGTCTGAAGTAGTCTAAATCATTTAAGAATAAATAGAAAGACATTTACATAAAAATAAATAAACCCCTATATATAAATATGAGAATCGAATAGAAGAGATTTAAATATTGTTTTGCTCTGTTCTGTAGCGATCTTTAATTGATCCCTAGAATTCGATATTTCGCCAACATAATCATATAATCAGCACGACAATGATATTGTATTAAATTGCTGGAACTCTTTATGCGGCTTATTACGGGTGAGCTTGCTTTAAACAAGTTTCGACCAAGTAGCTGCCTTGAGCTTTTTGGCGTTCTTCCTTGTTTTACAGTTATGCCTGCAGTGAAGTGAATATCTATAACTGGTTTCGATAGCCCTTTTACTTTTCCATCACAATTACCTCGATAAAATCAACAGCGAAGCTAATTTTCTTTGTATGTCCGTGAGGAAACCAGGAAAGGGAAACGGGGACTGGGGCAGGTTTAAGCCTTATTTCATACTCTGTTAACGAAGTAAAAATGGGTATATTGGGCACATACAATGCAGACTGTAGCATAAAATCTATTTATACATATGTATATGTATGTATAAACAATGATCTAGTTCTGCGAATTTACTAATTATCGATTTTAAGCATTTGAATGAAATATTTTATTATCTTTTCTTTCTTTTGACCTACTTTCAGTTATTTACAATTGGGCAGGCAGATAAACAGTTTTCCGACTAATGATAAAATTGCTCTGATCTCTGAATGCAAAGCTAAAAAAACACAGAGCCTTATCTCTCAAACTGAAAGTGATGAACTCACTTCTTGGATATAATCTTCAGATTGACCAACTGAACAAACAAAATTCCTCTTCCCGCTGATTTCAGCTAGGCGACCAACGATAGCCAGACCGGTTAGCAATTAATAGTTGTCGAGCTCAACAAATTTGGTATTCATTTTACATCGGACTTAAGCTCCGTCGTTCAGGCCAAACTCAAATCAATTTAAGCATTCAGATGAACGCAAATGTTGCGATAAAATTGCAAAAGTACAAAAAGAAAAGAACAAACATAAATGGAAGCTCTTAGGAATTGTATTAAATGCGAAATAAATTAGCATTAAATTTAAATAAAATTAGAAAATTATTAAATTATACAAAATATCAATGAACTTTGAGATAAAATCAATACATATAGAAAATGCTGAAGGGACTTTAACAATTCTAATTTTGGCTAGATATAACATGTTAAATTTCAGATTTATATATATTAAATACTCGAAAATTACAGAGACTCATGCCAGTTCAGTACTTCATAAGCTCATCTAAAACTACACCGTCTATAGAATTTAAGTAAGCTTTAAATAGTCATATGTTTTTAGGCTCTATCGTTAAAGTTTTACTAGAAGAAATTCAACAAATATTTTGGATGTTAAGCGACAACAAGGAAAATACACAAAAGTCACTGATATTTCAAGCTATTCTGCAAATGATTCTTTAACTGCTTCAACTTCTTTAACTTTGGGAACACTTGATATGTTAAGCCGAACCTTAATACCGAACGCGAATTAAAAGTTTTCTTCTTTTTGTGCTTGCGGTCAGCGGGCAAACGATGTGTGTTCTATGGGGTTCTGCGACTGGGGCTGTCTTCGAGACGGTCTAGCGGCGTTGGCAGCGATAAGATAAAGCTGCTTAACCACAGCACTGATCGTTCGCTTTCGTTAACATTCCGTTATGTATCGTTTCGTTACATTTTGTTTTGCTTCGGCTTTTCCGCAGCTATGTGAGAGAGTGGGCGCGAAATAGATAGACAGATAGAGAGAGGGAGAGTATCTCCTTTTTTTTTGTTTTTGTCCCCGTACGATTTTCCGACTGCAAGCGCATTGTTTGCAGTTTATTTGTGCACAAAGTTGTTGTTGTTGTTTTTCTTCTTCTACTTTTTTTCTGATTTTATTTGTACGAAATCGTTAGACATTTTTTCGGCGATATAAAGCGATAAATCGTTGCGGCCGATCGGAACACGATCAGCTCATGACGGCTAACGATAACAGAGAGCCGTCGTGCGTCGTCGCACTTGAAAACGTTGCTGATAAAAGGAAATATAGCCGCACACTATGTACACACATATGTATATGAATTGGAACAATCAAATTAAATGCACACACGACAGTGACGGCGACGACGACGACAACGACGACAACGATCAGCGATCTGCGTACGGATCGACTACAGTGAAACAACAACAAAATATTTATATAAAAAAAATAATAGAAAAAAAAACCGAACAACTTTGAATAAATAATAATTGAAAATAATTTCAAGCAGCGCGCACAATAACACCAAGAAAAAAAAATAAATAAAATAAAGCTTTTGCCGTTTAAACGCAGACGGGAGCGCCGCAGCGTCGAGCGTCGAGCGTCGTGTTGCGAGCACTTACGCTGAGATCGATGAACTAAAATCCTAAAGAACGACAAGCCGTAATGATGCCTGGCCCATTGCTTGGTGTCGAATGCCGACGCTGCCGTCGTCACAGTCGCCGCTGCCGCCGCCGCCGCCACCGCTGCTGCTGCTGCTGCGTCGCAGAGATCGCCGTGAGAGCGCGAGCAACAAGTGCGAGAGCAGCAGCAGCAGCAGCAGCAGCAACAACAGCAAGTGTATGCGTGGCCGCGCGCCGCTCGTGCTTGAGACGAGAACGATGACGACAACGGGTTTAATTGATTTCAATGTATTTGTGAGCGGAACGCGCGCGCGCATCGGCGCTCACACTGATTCGCATTCGGATTCGGACTCCGACTGTGATTTGGATTCGGATTGCAAGCACAAATTAATAAAATAATAATAATAATCATAAGTAAATAGTAAAAAGGCAAGCGATATATATGTATATACATACATTTACATATATCGATATTGATTTTACGCAATTTCAAAAAATATTCAACAGGCTTAAATTCAACTGTGAGATCCTTTGACATGCCCCATATTCGATATACAAAAGTACACACATATACAAACACACTTATGTACACACATACATACATACACACACGTAGGCACACATGTTTGCTTCCCGTGTAAACTGTGCGTAGAGCTTTAAATTTGACTGTTCACAGTGTGAGCACGCTTCACGCCTCTGAGCAGCACGACAAAAGCCCAAAAGCCAACACCAAGCACAAAGAAAGAAAGAAAGAGAAAAAGACTTCGAGCGGCGCATCTGTTAACAGTAACACAACTACAGTTATGGCGTTGACTTCTTATTGGTCCGTCTCGTTGGGCGCGCAAGAAATGCACGAGAAACGAAAGAAACACAATGAAAGCTTTAACTCTTGGCTAGCCGACAGCTAAATACCCTGTAGAGACTTGGAATATGTTAATTGGTTTTATATAATAAATATTTATTTGTATTATATTGTACATACATATGTATGTATATATACCATATACATACGGATCAATTAGTGCTGAGCTATCCAACAGCATCATCATACCCACAACAGCTAGGGTATCCGAATTCGTTAAAAGAACTTTCGCTTGGGCTCCAATTGATCGAGGGCTCTTTGGGGCTCGACAATGCACGCCGAAATATGTATCATTTCGTTCGGCACAAATAATAAGAGCAAACAGAAACAGGAAAATAGCGCGTAACTAAATAAATACAACACATGTAAATTATAATCAGCTAACAGTAGCTGTCGCCGCAGTCACCGCCGCAGCAGCAGCAGCAGCCGCAGCCGCGCATCTCAATCATTATCACAATCAACGTTCACTGTCCCTGTCGTCATTATTATCGTGATAATGAGACCGTTTTTGGGGGGCACCATTCAAAATGAGTGTAGAGTGTTAAAAAATGAAAAAATGTAAAAAAAAAAGAAAGAAAGAAAATAAATGCGCGCGTCACAAGCATCAACGGACAGCGCCACCGACGGACGTTAGACGAAGTTTT